TATATATACTCTTACTCATACACAAAATAAAGTCTCTCTCTGTCACAAATGCCCAGTTTCACACATACTCATACTCATCTATACTCTCTCACACACACTCTGAAATAGTCACACACACTCACAAATATTCTCTTTGTTACACACACACACACTCATGCACACCCCTTTTGTCTCTACTGGGTTTAGTGTAGAAAAGTTTAACCATAGTCATTGAATTTGAGGCCTTTGGCTCAGGTACCTCCTCGCAGCCTATTAAGGAACATGAAATCCCTCAGCAGCTGGTCCCAGTCATCATGGCTGGGCCCTGGCTGGTAGAGCTGCTGCCCCTGTGCCTGTAAGTTCCAGATTCACCAGGACAAAAGCAGAAGAGTAGTATACTCACCACTGGTCTTCCTCTGTCTCTACACCAAGGGGCAGTCACTCCAGGACTGAGGGGCCCAGCTGAAATGGCCAGAAGTTCTGACTAGTGGGAGTTACCACCCTCTCTTCCTCTCTCTTCAGTGTTTCTTCTCCAAGGGGCAGGACAGCTGTTCACAGGAAAGCTTAGCCACCCTCTAAATTTAGCCTCAGGCCCAAGAGCCTGGCAGATTGCTGGAAGGCAGGAATGCTGCTCAGGGCCCAGACCTGAAAGTAGGTTTACTTAACCCTTTCACTCCTGACTCATTCTCCAGATACTAACCTCTGGCAGCAGAGTTGGAAAATGCTCACACATTGAAGGTGGAGAGGTCTTATTCAAATGACAAACAGACACATGAAGAAATGCTCCAAATCACTGGCAATAAGAGAGATGCAAATCAAAACCACAGTGAGGTTCTATCTCACTCCAGTAACAGGGCAAAGTTTAACAGGGCAGCAAATAATAAATGTTAGAGGATGTGGAAACAAAGGAACTCGTATACATTGTTAGTGGAATTGTAAAATGGAACATTCTGGAAGGCAGTTTAGTGCTTCCTCAAGAAGCTGAACATAGAAATTCTATATGACCCAGCTATTCTACTACTTGGATTATACCCTGAGAATTTAAGAACTGAGGCACAAACTGAGATTTGTACACCAGTGTTCATAGCAGCATTATTCACCATCGCAAAAACATGGAAACAGCCCAAATGTCCAATGACAAATGAATGGATTGAAGAATTATGGTACATTCACACAATGGAATATTATGCAGCACACAGGAGCAAAGATTTTGTAAATTATAACCTACCTTGGGAGGGACTGGAAAGCATTATGCTGAATGAACTAACTCAGTACCACATGGACAAAAATTGTATAAAACTATTATTGTAGAATGAGTATAAGGATCCAAGAGGGGTAGGGGAGGGTGGAAGCAGAGGGTTGAGGAGGTGCAGAGGGAGGAGGGATTAAACATGAAATTGTACAATTTGATGCAGGGGTGAGGGAAATTGGAAGAATCTGTTCTCTAAATCAATGTATTTGAATTTTGTAAATAAAATAATATTTTTTAAAAAGGCCTTCAGCTAATTTCTTTCCATATCTTCAAGGCTAGGGCTACATTTTCAAATTTCTTCCAGGGCCAGTCTAAGGACCTAAAAGAATGGAATAAACTTTCCCTCAATCCTATGCCAGTTTAGAGGAACCTGGAAAAGAATCCCAGATACACAGAATGGATAGAGTCCTATGACAGACATTGGGAAAGTGCCTGTGTGTGACTCGAGGATGGTCATTATTTGTGACCAGGGTTGTTTATTTTAACCAATATGTTTCTCATAGTTAAACAGGTGATTGAGATCCCCCTGTTACACATACAAACACACCCTTAATGATGATTAATTGGTAACTCTGAGTGATACAAAAATTCCCTGAGCTGCACACACTCAACGAACTCATAACAGACTTTACTCTATTACACCATTGCCCTCATCACTTTGCTCACAACAAAGCTCATTAGCTGACCCTTCATGTCACACATTCTATAATTTCCCCATTCACCCACCCATCCATCCATCTGTCCATCCATCCATCCACCCATACATCTACCTATTTACAAATAATTATTTACTGATTATCTATCTTGGCACTGTTGTTGTAGTTGTTAAGTACTGTAGAGTCACCTGCTACTCATAGGGACCCCATGTACAACAGGTCTGAAGCCTGCCCTATTTACTAAGTCAATCTCACTGACTCCAACATGCTAAGTCAATCTCACTGACTCCAACACGCCATAGCTCCATTCACTGTATCAATCATTCTCATCCCGGGTCTTCCTCTCCTATGCTGCCCCTCCACCCTTCTGAGCATGATGTCCTTCTCCAAGGATCCATCCCTTCTGGCCGCATGCCCCATGCATATGAGACAGAGGTTCAAAGTCCTAGTCTCCAAGAAGAAACTTGGTTTCACCCTCTCTAAGGCAGACTTATTTGTTTTCTTGGTAATCCATGGTATGTTCAAGACATTTTTCCAGCACCACAACTCAAATGCATCGATTCTTCTTCTATCATCCTTAGTCATTGTCCAGTTCTCTGGTACATAGTAAGTAATTATGAAGACCATCGTCTGGATCAGGCACACGTTAGTCTCTACATTAAGCACTGCACTTGGCAAAAATTAGCGTTCATATTTCTATTTAAACTCTCTTTCACAGTGGCCCTGTCAGGAGCTCCGAGGGTTATGAACCTTTGCAGAGGCTGGCTGTTGCATCTTTTGCCTTTGGAGTGATTGCTGGGTACTTGAATAGGTACTTGACCCTTGTGCCACCAGGATATCCAATTAGGAAAAAAAAAATTCCAACAAATACCAGAAGTTAAATTTGAAGGAGGGAAAATATAAAGATAAAAATGTGGCCAAAGTCAGAAAAAAAAAATAAGAAAACACAAGAGAAGAAAGACCAAACAAAAGCAAAACAAGAATGTCTGTTATGAATGCTAGACTAATGCAAAAAATTGATAATTTTTGTTTATAGTGCCAAAAATGTTTTAAGAAAGCAAAAAGTATTCAGAAAATCAATTATCAGAAATCAGGAAGCAAATGGTGGAACAAAATGAGAGAGTCAACAAGGAAATTGAAATCACAAAGAGAGAGAACTACTGGAAATGAAGAATAAAGTAACTAAATTAAAAAAAAAAACACCAAGAGATACATTCAACAATATAGTCAAATAGAAGATAGAATTAATTAATTTGGAGGAACTGAGCTTCTAAAATATATTTTACAAAACTCACCAACTCACCAAGTGAACAAATCTAAAAGGAAATATAGGTTTAAACTAAGAAATATAACACTAGATTTCTTGGAATCTCATAGCACTATGATAAAAAAAAAGGAACAGAAATTATTTTCCAAGAGAAGATCAGCGAGAATCTCCCAGATAGGAATAGAGAATCAAATCTAACTACAGGCAGTATATAAATCTAAATTAGAAGAGAAAAAAAAATACCAACAAAACACCCAGAGTAAATCTTTGTATCTTATTATAATACAATTCTTGAAAGCAATAAATGTCCTCAGTTAGTATAGAAGAAAAAACATGGAACTAAATTTAAATGATTATCTTTTAGTCTAGATAAACTTTATTGGTGGAGGACAGAAGATTGTCTGAGATTATTGCCTGAATCCGTTTTTAGACCTATGACCAAGGCTACCGCTTGAGATCACCTTGTAGCAAAATAGCAGTGACACCAAAGAGGAAGGATATTATCAATAATACTGATGCAATATGAGACCAAAAGGTCAACAATTACCCCAAAGCAAAGATAGGAAGAGAAGGAGTCAGGGAAACTGGAATAGTGGAAAGGGACCAAGCTGAATACAACCAAAGAGAACATGCTGAAACAAACAAACAAACAAAAAACACATGAGAAGAAAAACAATGGAGAGGGGAGCAAAACTTAATCTTTTTTTCAAAATGCATAAAATATAGATGTTGTTAGGTGTCATCAAGTCAATTATGGCTGATTATAACCCTGTGAACAACAGATCGAAACCCATCCTATCCTGTACCGCCATCATCATCACTGATACGCTCGAGTCCATTGTTACAGTCACTGTGTCAATCCATCTTGTCGGAGATGTCATCTTCTCTTTCACTGACCATTTCTAAGCATGATATATTTTTCCAAAGACTATTCCCTCCTAACAACAAGTTTAAGTATGTGAGATGAAGTTTCATGATCCTTTCCTTTAGGAGCACACTTTATCCAAACCATATTTCTTTGTTCTTTTGGCCGTCCCTGAGATATTCGGTACCATTCTCCAACACCACAACTCAAAGATACTGATTCTCTTTCTGCCATCTTTATTCACTGTCTAACTTTCAGATGAGTGGTAAGTAATGGTAAGTAATTGAAAAGGCCATGGCTTGCTTGGATCAGGAGAACCATAGTCTTTAAATAGACATCTTTGCTCTTTAGCTCTTTGAAGGAACTTTGACAGTAGATTTCTCCAATGTGACATATCTTTTGATTTCTTGATTGCTGCTACCATTGATATTGATTGTAGATCCAAGTAAGATGAAATTGTTGACAATTTCAATCTTTTCCCCATCTACCATGATGTGGCCTATAGGCCCAGTTATGAGGATTTTAATTTTCGTAATGTTGAGATGTATCCAATATTGAAGGCTGTGGTAGTCAATACTATAGTCTTTGATCTGCCACAAGTGTTTTAAGTACTCGTCACTTTCAACAAGAAGGTTGTGTCATCTACCACAGGTTGTTTGTAAGCCTTTTTCCAATCCTGATGTTCCATTCTTCGGAAAGCCCATCGCACAAAATACAAACTGAATGTTGTTGTTGTTGTTGTTGTTGTTGTTGTTATGTGCTGTCAAGTCATTTGCGACCCTGCTCTATCCCATGCCAATCGCATTGCCTCTGATACACCCATCCTGATTACCCCAGTCACTGAATCAATTCACCTTATAGAGGCTCTTCCCCTCCTGCGCTATCCCTCCACCCTACCAAGCATGATGTCCTTCTCCAATGACCTGTCCCTCCTTACAATATGTCCAAAGTATGTCAGATGAAGCCCCAGAATCCTTGCCTCCAAGGAGTAGCCTGGTTTAACCCTCTCCAGGGTGAATCTGTTTGTTTTCTTGACAGTCCATGATACATTCAATACTCTTTTCCAGCACCACAGCTCAAAGGCATCAAAAGATATAGCCCTTATAATGCACATCTTTCTTAATTTAAAACATGCAGTGTTTCCAAAAGATAGATGTAGATTATTTGTAATATATACTATGATAGGAAATCATCAGAACTCTGGACTGTATGCTCTGGCTGCCAAAGACATCTTCAGACAACTAGAACTGTCCCAGCCAAGAAAGCACCTCTTTGTGCGGATAAGCTTCTATGAAACCTACTGTGGACAGCTTTATGACCTCTTAAATCAAAGAAAAAGGCTCTTTGCATGAGAAGATAGCAAGCATGTGGTACAGATAGTGGGACTTTGAGCCCTTCAGGTGGATAGTGTGGAGCTTCTTTTAGAGTGTTTGGTGGAGCTCCCAGATAAAAACAAGCTTGGAAGCAAGAGTGGCATCCTTTTTTTTTTTTAAATTACCTTGCCTCAAGAAACTCTATGAACTTGGAGAAATGAAGAAAGTTATACAAGTGTTCAGGGCTTTCATTCATAGGGTCGCTATGAGTTGCCTATGATTCGACGGCATTTAACAACAACAACATATAAAGAGTTGTTGTTGTGTGTTGTTGAGATCCCTATGACTCACAGTGGCCCTATGCACAATCTCTGAATCCTGTCCTATTTTGAGCTAGTCTAACTGTCTCCAACACATCTGCCTTTATTACCCCATCACTGAGTCAATTAATTTAATCTAGGATCTTCCTCTCCTGTGTTTTCCCTCCAACCTTCCAAGCTATCCTTCTCCAAGGATTCGTCTTTCCTGGTCATGTGCCCAAAGTATGTGAGACAGTGCTCCAAAATCCTTGCCTCCAAGGAGCAACTTGGTTTCTTCTTCTCCAGGACAAACCTGTTAGTTCTCTTGTCATTCCATAGTATGCCAAATACTCTTCAGCACCAAAATTCAAAGGCATCAATTTTTCTTTGGTCATCTTTAGTCATTGTCCAGCTCTCTGTTGCATTGTAAGTACACTTCCCTAATAGTTTCATCTCTATTATTTGGCTATAAACTAAGTGGAATAAGGAAGTGGGAGGCAGAGGGTGAAAATAGGCAGGGAGAAAAAAATAATTTAAACTAACAAAGCAATTTGATGCTAAGAAACAGAAAATAGATGGGGACTCTGGTGGCTTAGTAGCAAGAAGCTGGTTGCAATCCCAAAGGTGTGCAGTTCAAATCCACTAGATGCTCTGCTGGAGAAGGATTCGATGGTAAAAAAACAAAGAAAGTAGAGAATGTTGATAGATTGTGATAAATTTGATTAATGACCAAATAATTGTGCATCTTGTCAAATGGGTACCTAACTTGCTGAATGAATGTTCAGCAAAAAATCAAGAAAATATTACTTTTCAAAAATATTACTTTCCTCCTGACGAGGTGAAGATTCACTGTGTGTTTGTTCTCAGCTGGAAACTCAGGATCTATAACAATGTTTGGCATACAGTATTTAGAATTGGCTTAATAAATTAGCTCATAGCCTACTCAGAGGAATGAGATAGAGACTAAAAATAATTCATGCTTAAGGCAGGATGTAATTAGTGTCCTAAGAGATATCCAGAGAAGTGCTATCTGAGCTCAAAGGAGGTAGAGATCTTCTGCCAGAATAAATCAGAAAAGGCTTGACAAAGAAGGAATACAATACAAGCTGACTTTACAGCACAGGTTAGAGAAAGGGAAAAGAGAGGAAAAGTTGTCATTAACACTGTCTATTAAAGCCCTCAACGAGCTGGATTGACACAGCAACTGGAACAATAGCCTGGAGAACATTAGAGATGATGAGGATGGCACAGGATGGGACAGGGTATAGATCTGGGGTCCAGAGGGTTGCTATGAGTCTTGGTTTACTCAGTGGAGCATAACAACAAAGACAATTGAAACCAAATTAAAACAGTGACGGCTTATGTGTTCCTATGATACTGGAAGGTATGCCAGGTGTTTCACATTCCAGCAGGCTCACCCCTGATGGACAAGTGTCATTCAAGCTTCCAGAGTGAGACAGATTAGAGTGGAAGCTTGACTGGTCACCTGCTGCTGTAATGATGGATCCTTGAAAGCTCTGGGTAGCAGGAGACCATTGGCTCCTGTAGTACCAGAGCCCTCAGTTTGGAAGAAGCTCAAAGCAGGCCTGGGGAAGAGCTGCTTCCTCAAAGTAGCATCTATCTTAATGATTCTATTTGAGAAAAGCTTTCAGCCAATGAAGAACATTCATTTGCTGATGTGGCCAGCCTCAGAAAAAGGAGAAACAACTGCAAACAGCCGTGAATAATTGGAATGTGGAATGTAAAAAGTATGAATCAAGGACAATTGTATGTTGTTAAAAATGCAATGGATTTCTTAAAAAATGAAATTGAACGTATAAAGATCAATACCTGAGGCATTAGTGAACTGAAATGGTTGGAGCTGGTCATTTTTAATCAGAAAATCATATGGTCTACAATGCTTGGAATGACAAAATTGAGAGGGATAGTGTCACACTTATTGTAAAAAAGAACATTTCAAGATCTATTCCCAAGCACAATGCAGTGAGTGATGATACTTATAAAGTTCTAAAGAGAGGAAGGAAGGAAGGAAGGA